CCGCGCGCCCCTTCCCCGCCCCCTACCTCGCGCCGGGAGGAGCCGCGGAGCCGCGACGCGATTGCGGGACGGGGACGGGGACGGGGACGGGGACGCGGGGGGCGGCGGGCCGCGCCGGCCATGGCGCGGGCGGGCGCGCGGGGCCGGGCAGGGCGGCGCGGGCGGTGCCGGCGGGGCGCGCTCCTCGCCTTCGCCGCCTGGGCCGTGGGCTGGGTGCTGGCGGCCGCGCTCCTGCTCCGCGCGCACCCGGGCGTCCTCTCCGAGCGCTGCACCGACGAGGAGAGCCGGCGCATCCTGGCCGCGCTGGTAGGTCCCGTCGCCTTGCGTCCCCGGGGGGGCGTCGCATCCACCCTCCGCGCCCCGGCGAGCCCGCCGAGGGACTGAGGCGTCGCGCGCCCACCTCACCCGGGGGTTCGGGCGGCGCTGGCACCCACCCGGGTCGTAGGGTCCCAACACGCGCACGGATGTCGGAGGCGCACAACCGGGTCTCCCGAAAGGGGATCGGTCCAGTAGTGCTCTGGGGGCGCGCGGGGTGGGTCTGCCCCGCTTTCGCCAAAATTGGTTCCTTTGTTCCAGGACAGTCTCCCCTTCCGATTCTCCCCCGCCGCCCCTGATCCCGAGTCCGGAAGAAAGTTTGCGGGTTTGACCCGAGTCTCCGTGCCGCCCTTGGGTGCGCGCCTCCCGCGTCGGGCTGCTGGGCTCGGGGCGGGCGGGGACCGCGCCTCTGTCTCGGGTCCCCAGCGCTCTTATTCCCCACCCGCGCCCTCGCGGTTCTCTTACTCCACCTGGGATCCCCTCCCCCACTCGACAGAGCCGCTGCAGATGGGTCGGCCCCCGCCTCCTCGCGCCCCAAAGCCCGTGGGAACCGCGGCAGGCCCGCGGGGGGCGGCTCGGACCCGCAGACCGCTGTCCGGGTCTCGGACAGCAGAGTCTCCCGACGCGGAGAGCCCGAGAGCTCGCACCCAGCATCTGCTCAGCCGAGCGGACTGTTAGGGCGAAAAAGAATTACTGGCTCTTGCATTTGCTGCGTGTGCTGGCCTCAGGTGCTGTGAATAAAATCCTCGTCCTTAGTTGGTTAGAGACGCGACTCTCCGAGTCCTTCCCTTTGGTGCGGAAGATTTTGCGCATAGGAGACAATAAGGGTAGGGATCCCTTTCCAGGAAAGGAGAAGATAGCAGTAAATACTCTTACACGATTTCTTCTTAAAGTTTTTTATTTTTGTTTTTTAAATAGAAATTGGGTCTCAGTATATTGCCCAGGCTGGTTTCAAACTCCTGGACTCAAGCAATCCTCCCGACTCAGCCTCCCAAACTAGTCCTCTTGTGTAACAGGTGTGAGCCACCACGCCCGGCCCTTTTACATGATTTCTTAAGTGATTTTTCGCTTCCTAAAATAGGGAGTATTTAAGCATTTTGTTTGAAAAGTGATCTACTTTCTAAAAAAAATCTTTGAGAAACACGTGGGAAGTTTCCAGTCCAATTGCTTACATATGGGTGGACTTTTTGAGAGTGTAGATTTTCAAAACGTGGATGCATCGTTTCTTTAAATAAATGATTTTTTTACAAAGTGAGATTGGAAACATTAAGCAAATAATGAGCCATATATACAAGAGAAAACACACCATGTTCCCTAACTGAACGTGGCATGTGTCGTTCTGAATTGACCATATGTAGGTGAGACTCTCATAGAATCCCTCTATCCACCCTCTTCCACTGTTACACTGAAGTTCTGTCAAAGACCAGGCTGTCCATGGCCCTGGCCCCTGGGAACCAAGGCAGGGAGCGCTCATTTTTAAATGTAAAAATCCTTTTCAATTATAAAGATTTTTCCTTGGCCTGGGGGTTGGGGGGAGGGTGGTGATTGACTAATTACAGTAAACCAAAATTGATAGTTTGGCTAGGCTGGAGTGCCTATTTACAAATTGAATATAATACTCTTTTAGATTAAAGTAAAAAGCGAGCACCATCTTTCATTTCTATACCTTTGGTTAAGTGGGGAAAAGCCTAATGGAAATTAAATAGCCTAATATAATTTAAGTAATTGCTAATCATAACTTTCCCAGCATTCTGGGTTGTAAATTAAAACCAATTCTGTTTAGAGACTTTGCCAATTCGTCTTCAATGGGAACCATATGGAATCGTTTTCCGACCGACAGAAAGCTGAAGAGATTGGCTGTGCCCCCAAAGGCCCTCAATCTTTCCTAGTGCCAAAAGAGTGATTTAAAATGCCGCATCCGTCTCCCTAAAAGTTTATCTGACGACGTCTCAGGTGGATTGATGGTTTGCGGAGCCTCATCTGCACAGCTAGCCCCGCTAAAGTTTCTTACTCCTCGCACATTCTCAGAACCTCTTTCTCTGCCTCTGTCCTTTTCTCTGCCTCTGCCCCTGCCACATCCCTGTGTACCATTTTATTTCCTTCTTTTCTTTTCTTCTCTTTTCCTTTCCTTTCTTTCTTCCTTTTTTTGAGTCAGGGTCTTACTCTGTTGCCCAGGCTGAAGTGCAGTGACACAATCAAGGCTCACCGCAGTCTCAAACTCCTGGGCTCAGGCAATCCTCCTGCCTTGGCCTCCTGCATAGCTGGGACTACAGGCATGTGCCACCACATCTGGTTAATTTTTGTGCTGAGACAAGCTCTCGCTGTGTTGCTCAGGCTGGTTTCAAACTCCTAGACTCAAGCGATCCTCCTGCCTTGGCCTCCCAAAGTGCTGGGATTGCAGACGTGAGTCACCGCTCCCAGCCTTGTCTACCATTTTCATTCTGAGTCTGCCATGTGAGAGCAACGCAGCACCCTGGCCTAAGTTCTGCCCAGGAAATGCTAAACTAGAACAGGGTTTAAATACAGTTCCAATCTTCACAATCCTGATTGCCGGGCCGAGTTGCCAAGCAGAGGTTGGCATTGTAACTGGAGCTGAATCAAGTCTCTGTCTCTCAGCTCCCTGGCACTTTCCGATTCATCCGCCTGGCTTTTATCTGTAATAATAAAGCTGATTGTTATTTTTCTGACTGGTCTCCAGACTCTCATTAGACTCTGAATGCTGGAGCATAGAGGAAACCACTTTGCCAGCTGAGCCAAAGGGAGACTTTCTGGCAGAGCCAAGGAGTGGCGGTGAATTCCCCAACCTTGGTGGTGGCTGCTAGTGTTCCCAGTGGGTGGTGTTGCTGGCCAGCCAGGGAGGTTCTACCAGGAAATAAAGGAGTAAGATGAGAATGCATAGGAGCTGGCCAGGGTGGGAGTCAGAGGTCTGCAGCTTTTCCCCAGCCCCCACTCATCTCCTGAGGGAGCCAACCACACCCCATGGACTGGAGGAGAGTTCCGAGACAGCCGGCCAACTTGAATTGTTCCAAAAGAATCCAGTCCTGCGTCTTTGAGCTTTTCCTAGTCAGACTCCATGGCTCCTTCTGACTGTGGCTTTTCAGCACATACTGTACTCAAGAAATCGAGGCCAGGCATGGTGGCTCACGCCTGTAATCCCAGCATTTTGGGAGGCCAAGGTGGGAGGATCACTTGAGCCCAGGAATTCAACACCTGCATTGGCAACATAAGGGGACCTAGTCTGTACAAAAAAATTAAAAAAAAAAAAAATTAGCCAAGAGTTATAGTGTGGGCCTGTGCCCCAGCTACTCAGGAGACTGAGGTGGAAGGATCGTCTGAGACCAGGAGGTCAGGGCTGTGGTGAACCATGATCCTGCCACTGCACTCCAGCCTGGGCAACAGTGTGAGACCCTGACTCAAAAAGAAAAGAAAAGAACACCCTTGTGACTTGACTGTGACTCTCCAGCCTTGCTTTTCTGGTGAGCCCTGTCAGGAGGCCCGGCCAGGCTGAGGGGCCTTGGGCCGTGCTGGACCACAGGCTCGCCTGGCTTCTTGTCTTGCAGACTGAGCACTTCACACAGCAGCCGGAGACGCCACTACTGTTTTCTGATGCTGCTTTCTCTGGGCAGGTGCCATGCTCATAGTTGCCCGGTATTTTTTCATTGAATTCCCTTAACAACCTTGGCGAAGTATTTTGCTTTTAGGGTTCCCATTTCCCAGAAGGCAAAACTGAGCTCTAGGGAGGTAAAGCAACTTGCCTCCTTCACACAGTTAGTGTGTTGAGGAAACAGGATGTGACCCTGTCTAGTCCGATGGCAGAGATGCCACCAACAGTAACTGGCTTCTCTCAGTGAGGAATCCCTAAGTCACAACAGTGTACTTAACCCTTTCATAGCATCTTAGAGACCTTCTACAAACCATGTTATTCAGAAGGCTTACCTGCCCTTTTTTTTTTTTTGAGACAGGGTCTCCCTCTGTCGCCCAGTGGCAGGATTCCAGCTCACCACAGCCTCTACCTCTTGGGCTCAGGTGATCCTTCTGCCTCAGCCTCCCGCATAGCGGGATTACAGGCATGTGCTTCTGCACTTGGCTAATTTTTTGATTTATTGTGGAGACGAATTCTTATCAAATTGCCCAGGCTGGTCTCAAACCCCCGGGCTCAGGCAATCCTCTTGCCTCAGCCTCCCAAAGTGCTGGGATTACAGGTGTTAACCATTGTACCCGACTAGAATTCATTTTTAATAGGGCAGGCTTCTCTTTGCTGTGATAGAAACTGTCAAGTTCCCCGATGATACTACAGCACACCAGGCACATACCCAGAGAGATTTCACAGCAGCGAATGACTCTTTCCTTGAGTGCTGGGCCACATTCCTAACTAGACAGGAATTACAGGGGGAACGAGCTAATTGTGCTGAGATCCTGTGGTGCCCAGCATAACTGTTCAGGAAGGAATACCAACATCAAATACGAATATTGCTAACTGTGTGGGAACTTAATGTTCCTTAAAACAAAACACACACACAAAAGAAAACCTGGCCATTTGACATGACCTCTGAGACCTCATGGACAGTTTCCTAGACCAGAGTGGACAGGTTTTATTTTTGCCTGAGAACTGTGTTATGAATTGGAAAGAGACAAAGCCACCGTCACAAACAACACCTCTTACGAGGACTGGGATTGATCTGGTGGGAATATGTCTTTCTGTGTGTATACACATGGCTAGGAGCAATCGAAGTCCCCTGTGACTTTAAAGTCACAAAACACACCAGAGTTAACCATGGTGAGGTTTTAGCTTGTTTTTTCCCAGTGGTTTTCAACTTTGATACCTGCGGATTTTATATGCACACGTATTTGGGTACAGAAATATACTTGGCTTTAAGCTGATGGTTAGGAACTTCTATGCAGAGAAAAGTCTGATATTAAAAATGGACCTAAGTAACTTCTATTGAGTTTAAAAATTGCTGCTTCAACTGGAAGCTGCTAATGAAATAATT